TGACCCTCACACCCACAAAACTTTAGGAATAATGTCCCCATCATACACCTACTTCCTGTGGGTCATAAACACATTTATATCCGTGAGCAGAATCTGACCACTTTTATAGATGCCTTTGAATGACATAATTTTCGCGACTGTCAGAAAAGTCAGCCTCTATAATGAAATGAATGAAAATGGAGGATCGTATCTCAGGACTACGTTAGTTTCTTTCTAAAGCAGTGGTGGTTCTCAACCTTCCAAATGCCATGACCCTTTAATACAGTACCTCATGTTGTGGTGACCCCCAACCATGAAATCATTTTCGTTGCTACTTCATAACTGTAATTTTGCTACTGTTATGACTTGTAATTTAAATATCTGATATGCAGGATGTATTTAGGCGACCCCTGTGAAAGGGCCGTTCGACCCCCCAAAGGGGTCGCGACCCACAGGTTGAGAACCGCTGGAAAGGCTTAAATCTGTTTCCTTGGAGGTTAGTTCCTAGAAACCTTTAAGCAAACAGACTGTTTATCAGTAGCTACATGTGAATTTACAAGTTATTTGTGGAGTCAATGTTAAAAGAATGGTGGGGCGTTTATATAATGTCCTCCAAGTAGCCTCAGAGCAAATACTCCAGTGATTTATGATGTTTGTTATTATTGATAGATGTTGTCTTATCTTTTTTGTAAAATATATGTTATTGATTACCATTTAATAAGAAAACAATTGACTTCTATATAAATGATGGCAACTATACCGTAAAATTTAATCTGAGTGTCAAAATTGGGGTGAGGGGCAAATAGAGGAATTTCAGACACAAGGTAGAGTATGGAATAGAGCAGGTACCTGTTCATGCTAAAGATAGACCTTCAGAGGACTTTTGTTCAGGAAGATCCGAAAAACTGTTTTAGTCACCCCAGCCTCCCAGGCCTGAAGGTAACTGGTGGGAGTAGGGGCTGGTGTGCCTCAACCCCACCTGTTAATGGAGCTCCTGTCAAGTATGCATGCTATAGTTGATACTGAATGCAGGATTGTCTCTCTGCCACGCAAAAGCCAATACTTAGGAAATAGAGTCTGATGAAAAGAAAGCGGGTTTATTCAAGAGCCAGCAGCCTGAGAAGATGGGGGACTCTCTCAAAAACCATTTATATCTCAGTGCAGACAGGGGTTGTTATGAGGGGATTTTTATGGAAGGAAGAGTGAAGTAAAACGGAGGGAGTTGTAGGCTCTGTTGAGGGTGCTATGTGCAAGTCAACAGTCTGCTCCCAAAACCAAACCATCTCTGAGATGGTCAAGTGATGGTGTGATTTTCCTCAAAGGTGAGCATAGCTCCTGGAGCTGAAATGCCTAAAGCAGTGGTTCTCAACCTTCCTAATGCCACGACCCTTTAATACAGTTCTTCATGCTGTGGTGACCCCCAACCATAAAATCATTTTCGTTGCTACTTCATAACTGTAATTTTGCTACTGTTATGA